CCTTGTTTCTTATAATTAATAAATATATTGTTTTCCACAAGTGGTTATTATGAACTTACTAAAATAGAAGTACTAGATTATATACAATATTGAAAGATGATTTAAATATATTAACAAAAGAAGATCTAAAGACTAGAGACAGGTGTGGTCCTAGGAGTTGGACGGTTAGTGGGAAGAGGATATAAATCAAAACACATTACACTCATATGTAAAATTACCAGAGAATATGATTAAAAATAAAATTTAAAAACTATGTCAAAATGAAAAAGATATTTTTTGATGATTTCTAAACATGACTTTTCAGCTTGGTACATAGGTCATTCACTGGCCGAGATTTCAAATTCTACTCAAATTAGATCTTAAAGTAAAGCAAGTAAAAGATTCAGTGGTTAGGGCTTAATTTTTTTCTCTTTCTCATTAAAAAAAAAACTTTTTGAGAGAAAAGATATCACACTGTTGACCAGACAAACCTGTAACTTAAAATCCACCTGCTTCAGCCTCTAAAGTAGTTGGGATACTGGAATTACGGACAAACAGTATCACATCTGATGGGCCATCACTTTTCACAGTAATAATTTTTAAGAGAAGAAATTAGTTCAAATGCAAGGAGAATCAATAATACTGAACTTTTATGCTATCATCCTAACTTTAATATGAAAGAAGCTAAAGGTTATAAATGTGCCTCTACTCTTTAATCAACCTATACATTGATTGAATGTATTGATTAATATATAGGTTTTCAATTACCTTGAAAAATGTTTAAGTAATTCAGATTACAGTCTGCAACCACAGAATTTTAGAGTTTGGTGTTTTCTAAATGACACCTATTATCAGATTTGAATGTAAGCATATAGAAGATACAAAATTAAAGTTTTCTTCTAACAAAACAATTTTCAAAGAATATTTTCTGTTTTTGAATAAATAATTATAAAGACTTGTTATTTTTATTCCTCATTTGCACAGCAAACATTCAAAATAACGACCCATTGACTAGACATGTAGCTCAGTGGGTAGAGTTTTCTGGTATGAACAAAGGCCTCCGTTATTCCCAGTATTTTATTAGCATATATTAGTTATACATATTAACTGCTTTAAATAACATTTTAATTAATTCTTTGAAACGTCCATATAATGTATTTTGATCATGGGTTTTTTTTTTCTCTCTATTTTTTAAAACCATCAAGTCCAGTTTGTACTAACCACCTATGAGTGACTGCCAGGGTTGACACCATTAAAAAAAAATAAACTATCTCTCTCAGCAACTATTAAAAACTAGTAGCTCCTCGGGTAGGGACGGGAATTCCTGACCACCTCCACAAGGGGATTTTTATCTGGCTGGAGCTTATGCGGGCCTTATGCATGCTGACACAAACACCATGAGTTCATATGTGCAACTTCCCACTGTGTCTAATTACACAAAATAAATTTTACCGTGACATTTCATGCATGTACATAATGTACTGTGATCCTATTCACCAATTAACTGAACATCTTTTAAAGCACTGAAACTGTCTTGACTAACAATTTATTAAGACTTAGTACTAAAGTGATGACAAGAAAGTGCATATGAAGAATATGTAAAGTGTGTACAATTGAAGAAATTAGCAAACATCACTTATATAATAAGGTGTTACATTTCAAGGACAAGAACGAGGCCAATCCCCAATTTCCAGGTTATAACAGACAAGGGCAAATAACATTTCAAATGTCACACAGAAAGAATAAAACACAGTTTAATAGAAATACAATTCAAATCACATCGCCTAATGTCTCATGGAATGCATTCAGGTTCAAAACTGCGTAACAGATAAAAAAAAAGGTAGTGCATAAAAAAACTGCAAATGACTTGTAAATTATAAGTTCATATTTGAGACACAGGATTAAATACACAGTGTCATGTAAGACAAAAACATGTCAGGAGTTATTCTATATATATTTTCTAATTTGGTTGTTATTTAATATTTATAATAAATATAAAATATTTATTATTTTAGCATGTGGTATTCCTGAACACACCAAACTACTGTGAATTCTAACAACAAAAGTCTACCACATATGGTTACTTTTTGACTGAATCTTTAAACAGAAGTAGCCAGGGCCTATAAGATAAAGATGTTCAATAGATAAAGATGCTTGCCACCAAGCCTGGAAACCAAAACTATATTCCCAGGACACACAGTGGAAGTGGGAATCTGACACCTACAAGATGCTCTCTGACCTGGACACCTGGGCTGTGGTACTAATGTAGCTCATCCCCACATACACTCATATGCACACAGAACACAAGCACACATGCGCATGTGCGCGCACACACACACAAATTGAAAATAAATAAATGTAAAAAAATAAATGAAATAAATAAAACAGAAGTAGCCATCAAGAAAATAAAGTTCCTAAACACTGCCATTCTAACACTGCATAGCAACCTGAGCATCAGCTACTGCTCTTTGAACTACTCCACCAGCAGCAGGAATCTAACTCTATCCCAAGAGATCAAATTTGCTAAAAAGAACATCATGTGCCATATCCTAAGAGAACTGACCAGCTACTATAGTGAGCAAAAAGGTAATCAGATGAAAGAAAGAAACAAATGGAGATTTTTGCTAGGCATAGAGCTAATTATTCAATACCAGTTGTTTATAAACAAAAGAAGATCTTAGCTGGGGTCATCCTTGTGAATTCCTGAGAATTTCTCTAGAGCCACGCTTCTTGCTAACCCCATAGTGGCTCCCTCAATCAAGATATGTCTTTTCTTGCTCTCATCTGTCCTTCCTCCACCTTGACTATCCCACTCACTCAAGTTCTCCTCGCCCCTACCCTTCTCCCCTTCTCTTCCCCTTCCACCATCCCTTCTCCCCCAACCCCCAAGTTCCCAATTTTGTCAGGCGATCTTGTCTATTTCAACTTTCCAGGTGTGTCTATGTATGTTTTTCTTAGGGTTCACCTTGTTACTTAGCTTCTCTAGGATCATGAACTATAGGCTCAATATCCTTTGTTTATAGCTAGTATCCACTTACGCGTGAGTACATACCATATTCATCTTTTTGGGTCTGGGTTACCTCACTCTAGATGGTGTTTTCTAGTTTCACCCATTTGCATAGAAAATTCAAGATGTCATTGTTTTTTACCACTGAGTAGTACTCTAATGTGTAAATATGCCACAATTTCTTTATCTATTCTTTGGTTGAGAGGCATCTAGACTATTCCCAGGCTATGGCTATTACAAACAATGCTGCTATAAACATAGTTGAACATATGTCTTTGTAGTATGATTGAGCATCTTTTGGGTATATGCCCAAGAGTAGTATTGCTGGATCCTGAGGTAGGTTGATTCCCAATTTTCTGAGAAACCACCATACTGATTTCCAAAGTGGTTGTACAAGTTTGCATTCCTACCAGCAACGGATGAGTGTTCTCCTTACTCCACATCCTCTTCAGCATAAGCTATCATTGGTGTTTTTGATCTTAGTCATTCTGAGAGGTGTAAGATGGTATTTCAGAGTTGTTTTGATTTGCATTCTCCTGATGGCTAAGGATGTTGAATATTTCCTTAGGTGTCATTCAGCCACTTGAGATTCTTCCGTTGAGAATTCTGTTTAGTTCTGAATAATCTAATCAGATTGCTCTAGGACACCACAAAACCTTGAGGGAAGTCACTGTCCCACCTACCCACTGAAAAGATCAGTCACTCTCAGCCTAACAAGCCTTTGTTGTGGTTGCAGCTGTTTGTTTTTTAAACAGCGTCTGGCTACACAGCCTAAACTGGCCTTGAAGTGACAACTGTCCGAGCTGTCAGACCTGTAGCTGTGCTCCAGCCTCAGCTTCACACACATCACCACTCCTGCTCCTCCTTTCAAGGAAAAAAAAGTGTCTATAGCTCAACCCTAATTGTGTGCTCTTTACAAACACCAAATCTTAAATTAGCTGTTTTTCTCCACAGGCTCTGTTCAGAATTCCATGCTTGGGTTTCATTTTCTGAACCCCAGGTACTCTGTACCCTGTACACTGTCATCAATCTAAGGACACCATCTGTCCTTAATAGTTCAAGTCCACTTCATAAAGCAGATTTCCCTGCTCTGAAGTGTGCTGTTCGTCTAAACTTTACATAAAGATTAACACCAATAACTACTAATTCTGAGATAAGTATACCAAACATCTGTTAAATGTATGATTTCCTGTTAGAAACTTTAAAAATTTTTTATTAAAATATAATTACATTATTTCCTTCCTTCCCTTTCCTCTCTCGGACCCCTTCCATCTCCCTGTCAAATTAATGGCCTCTTTTTCTTTGGAGACTTTACTATTTGTGCAAATACTATGCATAAAATAAATAAATACAACTTGCTGATTCTATTTAGTGTTGCTTGTGTGTATATGATTTCAGGCTGACCACTTGATATGGAATAACCAATTTTCATATATCCTCTTAGTGCTTAAAATCTACGTATATTCTAATGCAATCCAGACTTTTATCAAACCAAAAAGACTAAGCAAACTTTGTCAAATGATTTTACATGTAAAAATAATACTATACCAAATAAAACATACATTCTCTAAAGTTATCTGAAATTTTGCTTTTCTGTGTTGCAATATACAATCTTAACCATATGCAAAACCGTTAAAATAAGCTAAAGAAAATCCAATAGAAATGGAACTAATGCAAACACAAAATGCCACACCATCAATGAGTAAATCTCTATAGCATTTTCTCTTAAAAGCTGACACAGAAAAGCTTTAAAGATTAAAAAAAATACTTGCAAAAAAACACTGTACTGAAAACATGGTATATTTCAGAACATTAATTATGTTACTATACATTCCTAAGCTTAAAAAGGATAGAACAGGTAACCAAAAGCAATCAAACAATAATTTCAAACATGAAAGTAATTATTTCAAAAATATCTTCTTAGTGAATATCAACTATTCATATCTGTCAACAATTGTCTTACAAGATATATACAGGAAGAACATATGCCTAGAAATTGTTCTGAGAAACTTACCATCATTTTGGCCCTTGCTCCTCATCTCCTCCTTCCATGACACGATGGTGCTCAGAGGAACATAGTCCCTTATGTATTCTTTGCGTCTCTCCTCTAAGGTCATCTTCAGCAAACGTTCTTGCAAAATAAAAGCAGAATCTCCATTTGCATTTAAATTTTAATCTTGGGAACTACTGAATACATTTATAAATATTAATCATGCTACACTAACCAAAGACTTAATGCAATCCAATGATTTCATATTTGAGGGTTAAAGGAGGTCAAATTAGTTCAATACTAGCAAGAAATGTAAAATTAAAGCTGGTAGGGACAAAGTTCCTAAGGTGGCCCCAAAAATGAGTCATTTCCTCTTCCTATCATCATAGACTAACATGGAGCGCATACTAGGTAAGGCATTCACAGACTTCAGGAACAATGGTCTGTCAGTTCCCATGGCAAAAGAGCAAATGAATAAGTTACAAAATAGTATCAATTAAAGAAAGTGCAGACTGCTGAGACAGGTATGTCCAAACAGTCGTAGTACAAAAAAGGTAGTTACAAAGCTATTTCCTCATTTTTTCCAGGCTACCAACAATGAGAGTGTACTCTCAATTCAGTAATAGCATTATGGTGGTAGAACATACATACTTTAAATATACACTTTAAGATTAAAATATAAAACAACATCTTAGAAAAGCAGATGCTGTTTATCAAGAGCTCATTGGGTGCCAAGTGTTTCCAATATCTGTATCACTAAAATAATTTTCATAACAAGTCATGACTAGTGAAGCACAGATAAGAGTCTTCCCATGAAGAGGTAAAGAGTAAGGTCATTTCAACAAACAGAACAACAATAAAAGCAAGGTGATATAAATACTTTAATGAAACTCTAAGATTTTATCTGGAACAGAAGACCCACAGAAGAGAAAAATAGTCAAAACTAAAGTGAAACTGTGCAGGGGTTTGTATGGGATGCTGTGCCATTAGCCCTCCTTCTATAAAAAAGACTAATTTAAAGTTGGTTATGAACGTCCTGGGTTTTGCACAAGATGATCCACTAGGAAGCAGAAAAAAAGTCTACTTGTTTTTAATATAAGAAATAATTTTCTGGTACTAGAGGGAGAGGACAGAAAACATGAAAAACACAGAAAATTTGTTGAATTTAACAACAGTTACAAAGGAGAATAATGAAATAAAATCTAGTTGTTGTCAAGGTTATGAAGTTCAAGTGATATAGAGGAAAGAGCTTTAATAATACAAGAAGAAAAATGCTATCAAATTCTACAGGAAGGTCATAAAAAATAAGAATTACTTTACAAAGCCACTGCCTTATCAACTGGGTGACAAACAGCAGTGAAAACAGAGCAGTGGTTGACAGAGTTTGGCCTATGACCTAAATCATTATATAAATCTAGATGGTCTTAGATCAATTTCCTCATCTCTTTATGTTTCAATTCCTTCATGAGAGAATTAGACAGGTATTCTTCCCAACTTTTAGGTGAGAACTAAGGCAGTGAGGTCAGCAAACTTACATAACATCCTGGAACTTGTAGAATGGTATCAGCTAAAGTTTGAAATGGAACAACTGTATCTAAAGCTTAACCCTACATTACCTCATACCATTTTCTACTTTCATGAGTTCACAGAATCCAACAATATAACCCTTATATGTAAGGCATTAAAAACAGCACAGAGCACAAAACAGGACTTCAATAACTTATTATGTTCATCATCATTACTGAATGACTTTAGAAACACTAGTTTCTTTCAAATATAACTGAAATCCATGACACTATGAGGTAC